TCAGACTTGCTTCCTATAGAGGAACTCACAGCCACTCACTGCTACATAGGACTCCACAGCGGGCTTCCTGCCCTGAGCACACTCCCAGCAGGCACCCTGCTTTCTGACTTCATTGAAGACCAGGGCAGAACTAAGCAGCACCCTCAGGAGGAGGAGCCTCTTCCTGTGTCTCCTCAGTCCCCTCAGCCCCGCAATCACCCCACACAGTTGAGCCCCTTTCATATCTACCCACCCCAAGTTCAGCTCAGCCCTGTGTGCTCACTGAGCTTTTCTGCTCAAGTCTATCTTTCTACCAGTTTGAACCACTGCTTCACTTCCAGTTTGGGGGAGGAAAGGCAGATGGTAATAGGTAAAAGTCTCACAGACATTCCCCTCTGTGCCAGCTTTTAGGATCCTCACCTGAAGACCTTCTCCAGGTTCTCATGAAGGAAGAAGCCTTCTCGTTCATTAATTTGATGATTTCTCTGCAGCAGGATTCGGGACAGGTATCTGTGTAAATTCTCCACAACGCAAGAACAACATTCCATTTTCATCTTAGCAAGAGAAAGCTTGCGAAGGTTCTTCATCTGGCCCAGATAAGGAACCATACTTTCCAGTGTTTTGTGATGCCAGAAATCATCCACGACCAGCTCCTGGATGGAGTCCAGATGAAGCAATCCAAGAGTGCTTTGTATTTGACAGGTGGAGGCAAACAGAACCTGCAGCTTCTTAGAGCACAGCTGAACCTGGCCTCTTCTTGTCTTCACCCACTGGAGCAAGTGGGCCAGCACACAATCCCAGGGGCCATCACTAATGGTGACATCCATGAATATCCTGAAGGGGGGCTCCTCCCTCAGGTCTGTACAGTGATTGGCTGCTGGCTTGTCACTCAGGGCGGCTGCTGAGCAGGCTTGAGACATTGCTATGTACCCTGAGGTCCAGATGTTCAGGGACATATTCTGCAGATCTAACACTTGCAGTTTGCATCTACAGGGGAGACACAGGACAGTCTCAGAACAGACAAGGCAGAACGGCCACATTCTGCTTCATCATTATTTGATCTAGCCAATCAACCAATGGACTATGTTTCCCCCTGCTTTTTCCTAGTTTCTATCTTTCAGTCTTTTTCTTTTTATTGTGCACTAGTGGGGCCTGGTGGCAGGGCATGGATGCTGTCCAGTACATTTTTCTACTCCAGGCTAGTTGTTCTACCATTTGAATCACACCTCAACTTTTGGCTTTCCCTTTTCCTTTCCTTTTTGTTGGTTTTAAGGTTTGAACTCTGGGCCTCAGTGCTGTCCCTAAGCTTTTCATCTCAAGGCTAGTGCTCTATTACTTGAGCCACTGGGCTAAGTGGTAAAGGTCTCAGACTTTCCTACCCAGGCTGGCTTTGAACCTAATTCTCAGATCTCAGCTTCCAGAATAGGAGGATTAGAGGAGTGAGCCACTGGCTCTAGGCTTTGGCTTCATTTGATTGGAGATAAGAACCTCAGACACTTTCTTACCCAGGCTGACTTTTCAATATCTCAGACACCTAAGTAGATAGGATTATAGGAGTGCACCATCAACATCATGAAACTTTCCCCAACCTTTCCCCACTCCATCACCACAGTCTGCTATAGGTGAGGATCCGGCAGCCATGGCTGCAGCAATCCCCAGAAACCTTCCACACCAAGGGGCCCACGTCCACAAGGAACTCTGCAGGGATCCCTGGGATTCTCCCCCCCAGGTCTCCCCTGAGTCCACTGCACTTTGGCTGACTCCAGTTTGTTTCATCCCTGGACCCCAGGATCCTCCCTGACCCCCAACCTGGGTCCTCCTTACCTGGGCCCCGCTCCCTCCTCCAGCAGCACCTCAAGGCCCTCCAGGGTGACTTGTAAGATCTCCAGGTCAGCTGAGCCCACCAGGGCCCCCAGGGGGAGGCAGGCAAAGGGCCAGGCCTGCACCATGGCCTTCAGCACCTCCATGCGTCTCTTGGCAACCACCTCTCTGAACAGCGTGGAGAAGAGATCCAAGGGAAGGACGTCCAGAGCAGAGATGGCCAAGGCCTGGTCCTCTAGCAGGCTCTGCATGGCCAGCTGCCACAGTGTGGGCAGGGACATGGTGCTCAGTGTGCTGGGGCTGCAGGGAGAGGGCCTGGGAGCACACAGGAAGAGGCAGCTTTAGCGGCTGAAGCTGAGAAGTCCCTTCTCAGAGAGAACTCATCTCAAAGGCCACATCCCGACTCCAGCCATGGGGAGATGTCCGTTCACGCCCTTTCCACATAGCCCCGATGCCCCCCAAGCACAGCGCTGGGACACAGGGCAGCAGGATGCTCCCCACATAGACAGCCCCAAGCTCACCATGGTCCCATCCAGTTCCAGCCACTACTCTGAGCTCATGGTCCAACTTTCAGGGATTATGAGGAGCCTAAAGGTCAGTCTAAGCTGTGTGTGTGTGTGTGTGTGTGTGTGTGTGTGTGTGTCTTGTGCCTTGAGCTCAAGTCCTGGCACTTTCCTTGGGAGCTAATATTAGTGCTCTACCACTTGAGCTATAGCTGCCTTTCTGTCATTTTCATGTTTACTTGAAGGTCAAGGTGTCAAAGACTCTCCTGCCTGGGTTGTCTTGGAACCCTGACTCTCAGATCTTAGTCTTCTGAGTTAACAAGGTAGATAGGAGCTAGGCAAGGGCACATGACACACCCTAGCTTGTTGTCTTAAGGTCTGGCCATCACTCAAAAGTGATAGAAGAAAAGCCACAGGAATGGCAGCTGCCCAATCTCTGTACTCTTTTCCTTCTAAGATATCCTGGCCTATCTGGATGAGGACACAGGCATTAGGCACCATTACTATGCACTGTCACCACTGTTACTGAGCAATAGTAAGGCCAGGTACAGGCTGGTGCGGTGTAGAGAAAGCACCACCTCTGAGATGGAATCCTCACCCAAGGCTGACTCTGAGAGAGAGACTCACTGGACTGCTCTTCCACCCAGGAGATGTTCCTCACTGCCAGAGGAGCAGGGGGGTGGGGTACACAGATCAGGACAAGGCTTCACCTTTCAGGAACTGCTCTGGCAGCGAGGTGGAGCTGTGGGGTGGGGGTCCTCAGTACATAGGAGGACCTGGGTTAGAACACAGGACCAACACAGAGAAAGAGAATATCCAAAACACCCAGAACTTCTCCTATAGCCACTCCCCCCCCCCACACCCTCTGAAATGAAATACTATACAGAGGAAAAAGAGAAAAGAGAGAAAAAGAAAGAATCCCCCGGATTATGGGGCTTGAACTCAATGCCTCTTGTTTACCCTTAGGTTTCCTACTCAAGGCTGGCAGTCCTCCACCAGAACCACATAGCCAATTCTGAAATTTTGCTGCTTAACTGAAGAGAAGAATCTCAAGGATTGGAAATGTGGCTTAGTGGTAGAGTGCTTACATAGCACCCATGAAGCCCAGGATTTCATTCCTCAGTACCACATCCACAGAAAACCCAAAGTATGTCTGTGGCTCAAATGGCACAATGGTAACCTTGAGCAAAAGCAACTCAGGGACGGCTCCCAGGCCCTTATTTCCATCCTCAGGACTGGGGAAAAAAAAATAAAGCCTCATTGAGTTTTTCTGGGCTGGATATGTACCACCTTATATATCAGTCTCCTGAGTAGCTAGGGTTAGTGTATAAAGCACTGGTATCTGACTGGTTTATTGGTAGTTTAAATTTGTTTTTTTTTTTTTTTTGCCAGTCATGGGGCCTGAGCTCTGGGCCTGGGCTCTGTACCTCGGCTCTTCTGCTCAAGGCTAGCACTCTACCACTTGAGCCAATGCGCCACTTCTGGCTTTTTCTGCTTATGTGGTGCTGAGGAATCAAACCCAGGGCCTCATGCATGCAAGGCAAGCACTCTACCACTGAGCCACCTTCCCAGCCCGATGGTTTAAATTTCTATTGCTTTTTGTGCTTGCACTAGAGATTGACCTTGAAGGCCTGGGTGCTGTTCCCGAGGGCTCGTCAAAGCCAGTGCTCTACCACTTGAGTGACAGCTCCAGTCAAGGTTTATTTATTTTTGAGGAGATCAGAACCTTCTCCACCCAGAATATCCTGTTACTTGGATTCTTCACTCTTGGCCCCTCAAGTTGATAGGATTACATCAGGAGCCACAGATTCCTGACTTGAACTCAATATTTAACTTATCAAAATTGAAGCTTGGTTTAGTGGCTCCCACCTGAAAGCCCAGCTCCTGTGGAGTAGAAATTGAGAGAATTGAAGTCCTATCCCATCAGTTACCAACCTCTTGGCATGGTGGTTGTTATCTGTCATCCCATATTGCCAAGCCTGAATTAGTCGGGATCTGCTTCACTCATCCCTGTAATCCTAGCTGCTCAAGAGGCTGAGAGCTGAGGATCCAAGCTCAAAGCCAGCTTGAGCAGGAAAGTCTGTGAGACTCTCATCTTCGATTGACCACTAGAAAACTGGAAGTGGTGCTGTGGCTCAAAGCGGGAGAGTGCTACTTTTGAGCAAAAAGAACTCAGGGACAGCATACAGCCCTCTAATACAAGCCCCACAACTAATCTAAAAAAAAAAGCATGGATGTTTAGATCTGAGTCTGTGTGTTTAGGTAAAATATTGAGACTCTACTTAAAGCTGAAAGAGAAGTTGTGTCTTTAGGAGTATAATGAAAGCCTTGAAGGAAAAGTTGAATGACAATGTCCAGACCTTAATTTCAAACTCTAGTACGAGTTCAAATAATAATAAAGTACAAAATTATTGAAAAGTTTCAAGGCAGGCACTTATGGCTCACACTTGTAATCTAGCTCCTAAAGAGCCTAAGATCTGTGGAACACAGTTCAAAGCCACTCTAGGAGGAAAAGTGTGAGACTCTTTTTCCTCCCTACAGTGAAGGGCTTTGAACGCTGGGCCTGGCTCTGTCCTTCCCCTCTTCAGTTCAATGTTAGTGCTCTACCACTTGAGCCACAGCACCATGTCTGGTTTTCTGAGTGGTTTATTGGAGATATTAGGCACACAGATTTTCCTGCCCAGGCTGCCTTTGAACCCTGATCCTCAGATCTCAGCCTCCTGAGTAGTAAGGATTTCAGTTGTGAGCCACCCATATCTGTCAAGCCTGTGACTATGTTCAAAAACACCAAAAAGCTGGAAGTAGATCTGTGGATCAAGAGGTAGATAGCCTTGAGGAAAAATATCAGGTCATTGCCAAGGCCCTGAGTTCTAACCCCAAAACTGGCACACATACACACACACACGCACACACACACACACACACAAAACCAAACCAATGGGATGGTAATGTGGCTTAGTGGTAGAGTGCTTGCCTAGCATGCATGAATCAAGCCCTGGACTCCATTCCTCAGTACCACATACACAGAAAAAGCCAAAAGCAGTGCTGTGGCTCAAAGTGGTAAAGTGGTAACCTTGAGCAAAAGAAGCTCAAGGACAGGGCCCGACCCTGAGTTCAAGCCCCAGGACAAGCTCAAAAGAAGAGGCCCAAATCACTATACTCTGTGGCATACTGGACCTACAGTCACCCCTGGCACTGGCTGAGGGGAATGTTGGGGGGTCCTCATGGAGTGGGGACTTACCAGATGTGGACAGATCAGCAGGGCTCTCTGAAGGGAGCAGGCACAGGCAGTGACTCCACTTACCAGGGTTCTCATCTCCCCTGGCTCCTCTGAAGCTTTATTCCCCCTGTCTACTGGTCCTACCCTTGGCCAACTCCCAGTGCCCAATCAGAAAGCAGCATCTGCTCAGTCCTGAAGCTCCACCCACTTCCTCCTGATTGGATTTCTGCCTTGTCCAGAGGGTCCTGAGGAAAGGGGGAGGGGAGGGAGAATGAAAGTTTAACACCCAGTCCTGACTTGTGTGCACTGCAATGCTTGTGCTTCCCTCCCTCCTCTGTGTCCTTCAAGTCCAAGTGTGTGAGACAGACATGCTTGCTCTGCTCTCCACCACATGCGGTAGATGCTTTGCCTCTAGCTAAGAGGCCCATAGTCACAGACAAAGATAATCTGGCTCTGTGTGTGTGTGTGTGAGAGAGAGAGAGAGAGACAGAGAAAGAGACAGAGAGTGTGTGTACTGGGGCTTGATCTCAGTATCTCACACTCTGTCTCTTTAGTTTTGCAGATCAAACAAAACACTTTTCTACACTTGAGCCACACCTCCACTTCAGGCTTTTTGGTGGTTAAAAGTGAAGATAATAATGGTCTGGATGCCAGGCACTGGTGGCTCAAGCCTGTTATACTAGCTACTCAATAGGCTGAGATCTGAGCATCATGGTTTAAACCCAGCTTGGGTAGTGAAGGCCTGAGCCTCCTATCCAAATAACCATCAGGAATCCAGAAGTGGTACTGTGGCTCAAGCAATAGAGTCCTGGTTTTTTGCTGAAGACCTCAAAGATGGTGCCCAGGCCCAAACTTTAAGCCCCTGGACCATGAGGAAAAGGAAAAAAAAAAAACAGAAGGGAATAAAATTAGAACTCAACACCAAAAGCTACCAAAGAACATCCTGTAACATATGGAGGCTGAACAACACACTGCTGAATTACGAATGGGTCATAGAAGAGATTAGAAAGGAAATTCAAATGTTCATGATATTCAACAAAAATGAACAGACAAATTACCAGCTCCTCTGGGACACAGCAAAGGCAGTACTCAGGGGCAAGTTTATAGCTCTGAGTTCCTACACCAATTAATTGGAGAGATTTGAAACCAGCAATTTAATGAGATATCTAAGCCTCCTTGAAAAAGAGCAGCAAGATAAACCTGTAGACGGAAAGAAATAATTAAAATTAAATCAGAATTAAATGAATTAGAATCCAAACAAAACATAAACAATCAACAAAACAGTTGGCTCTTTGAAAAAATTAACAAAATTGACAGACCCTTAGCAAATCTTATCAGAAAAAGAAGAGAACACAGCCAAACAAATAAACTCAGAGATGAGAATGGAAACATCACCACAAAAACAACCAAGATTCAGAACATTATAAGGGAATACTTCTCAAACATTTATGCTAATAAGTTTGAGAACTAGGCAGAAATGGACCTTTTCCTGGCAAATATCGACATGCAGAAACTAAACCAAGATGAGCTAAAACATCTTAACAGGCCCATGTCAAGC